ACTGATCTAATGCACTTTCATTAATTTTATGGGCCAAAATTATTGTCTCAAACCCTTCTGAAGCACCCAGATGCTCAGGGTACTTTGCAGTACTGTCATCCCACCTCAGGTGGATTTTCTGCCATCAGGGAGAAGCCAGCCAGGGCTGCCTTAGCCACTGAGGCTGGCTTTATCCCAGTGAGCTTGATGGGTTGACTTTGGTTAATGAGCCAGACTTGCTTATGGTACCATCCCACTCACTCAAGTGTCACACTCCTCCAGAGGCCCTTAGAGCTCGGTATCCTGGCAACTTAATGGCAGAGTGGACATTTATTTGGGATGGCAACTTTCCTGTACAATTCAAGAGGCATAAAGACGCAACTATCCATGGGTTTCTCTGTGTGACAAAACTATTTAGGAGGGATTGCAGCATGATAAACGCGCCGAGGGAGGAGTACATTCCTCTATTTCCTCAGCAAAATGGAGCCACTACCCAGCAATGTTGTAAGCTTCCATATTTCCCATTAACCTTATCATTTATTTTCTTGCCCCCCCCAAAAGCACAATGATGTAAACTGGCAGTATTGTTCCAGTCCTAATACCTCACTGCAGCTTACATCTTTTCTTTTCACCCTTGAGCCAGATTTAGTCTTCATGAAAAAACACCTCTGCAAGAAAAGCAGGACTGTTGAGGACACAGGCAGGAGAGTTATCATATAAACTTTCCATTTTATTTACAGTTCAGGAGCCTTGCAGAATGACACACACTTATGGTCTGGGATCACTAGCAATTATTGTAAAGGTGAAAGGAGATACTGCAAATTTAACAAGCCTTTTGTATGAACTAATTGCATTAGAATACATTAGTAAGGGTGCACATTGTAAGTTTTATGTTTCATTGGAAAGGTCATCCTAGATTCTGGTTGAATAGTGAAAGAGAGGAAACCATATTAGCAGTGTATCCAGCAAGTGTCTCCAGGATGAATTCCCTTCAGGTCATTTGCATTATTTGATTGTAGCTGAATAGTTCTCCCTCTGCTAAGCAAGTAAGGGAAGACCTACGGTGACAATAGGGGGAAGTTCAAAGTCTTTGAGCCTTATTAGAAGGCTCATTTTCTGCACTCATTTTCATGCACTCGTTTCCCAGAACTAGGCTGGCAGCTGTATAATCAGGACAGCAAGTTTACATGCCTCCTGTAGAGTACGAACCTCTCAGGGAAAGCTACTGTTAGTTTTCAGGAGGCAGGAGGGTTCCTGCTTCTTCAGAGGTGTGACACCCCATTGTACCACAACACAAAGACTCCCCTGCTGGTCTCTCCGCAAGTGAATGTGCCTGTCACCTGAGCCAGGGCACGCCAGGAGGATATCTGTTAGCAGGGGTTACCCAGGACCCCCTCCAGGCTCTGCTGCAGCCACCTCAGGTGACTCCAAACACTGTGCTGGGCACACTCACTACACCATTTCCATCAGCCCATGGGGTTCCAGTGGCTTTGCAAGCCCTGTGGTGGTGGCTGCGCTGAAGAGGCTGCAGAGGGCACAGGAAGGGTAGCAGCAGCAAAGCCAGTGTTTGAGGAAGGGAAGCAGGGAGGATCCTGAAGGAGATGAAGGGGTGGGGGAGCTGGGCCCATCGAGGCACAGAGTTTTGGCTCAAAGGGAAAACTCCTCTCCCCAGTCAAGCAGAACTTGAGGGTAACTACCTGCCAGGGCTGTCTCATCCAGTGGCTGCAGAAAGGGGACTGAATGTCAGCCAGAGAAGGGAAGAGACTGTGTCTATCCAGACAGCTGGGAGCTTTGTTGATCTGACAGTATAAAGTCTTCAGTATGTTCCATGATCTTCAGAAGAGTGTCTGGTTTCTACCAGTTTTACTGACCCATGGGCTTAAACCAGCCCTCCAGAAAACCTCACCATGTAAGAAGCAGGAGTTTGCATTGCGTTAGGCGAAGCAGTGCCATCAAGGATAGAAGAGAAGCTAAGTGGATGTTTCCAATGACTCTCCACTTCCCCAGACTTCACTCTATCGTGTAAGTACCACAGACAGCACAGCACCCTTTGGGAAGGTGTAGTGGCATTTATGCTGTCACCAGCCAACTTTGCTCTGAAAAGAAGGGGCTTCTACCCATCTGCCACCCCCAGAATATGTAAAAGAGAGCAGCATATGGTTTTGAGAAAATAAAAGGTCCCAGTATCTCAGCTTGGTAAAGCTATTGACTTACTGTCTGACCTCTAGCAAGACACGTGCCCTCTATCTGCCCCACTCCGGCTGGCTGCAAGACAAGCAGAAGTGACTCTAGTGCAGAGATGCTGAATTTGAGTTTAGCTCATCAAAGCCACAGCAGCTGGTCACCCCTTTGATGCTGACAAGCTACATCAAGGCTCATTTCAGCCAGCTCATAGTAGCTGGGCCTTCTCCTCCCACAAATCCAAACTGGCTATGAGGCTCCCAGCAGCTTTCCAAGCCCATGAAGAAGAAGAAAGCAAAACCATAATGCAACTGCTGCAAGGATGAGATGGGATCTGCTGGGACCGTTTGCACCTCTTCCCTCAGCTCCATAGCCCAGTCCTCCAGCTGCTGCAACCGCACTGGCTCATTGCAGCTGCTAGGACTGCATGTTCAGTCCTTGCCTATAGTGCCTTTATACAAATGCAACTACAACCAAAGGAGGGAATCAATCCACTCTGTAATGTATGTCACCTCTGGCAAGGTTAAAACTTCAGTTCAGCAAAGCCCTTGTGCTAAGTCCCCTTGATCCTGGGGACTCGTCCTGTGCCACAGCACTGTGGTCAATAACACACCAGGTAGGAGAGCTCTCAGCATACAGAGGATGATTAAGCCTCCTTGGGAACCAGAGGCACCCCAGGCTTCAAGTACCAAGACATCAAAATCTTAACATAGAAATAGTAAATATCATCCACCCTTCATTAAAGCTGTGTATCAGCCCAAACAATATTTTTTACATACTCTACATTAAAACTATCATACTTCAAATCTTAGTGTCCCATAATTTGCATATTGAATTCCAGGGAGATTATTTGATGGAGAGTATGCCATAGCTCCTGCATGTATGCACTATATCCAAAGGACATGGCAGTCTAGCATAACATCAGATAAGTCCTAATAATAGCCATAAAGACCATTTTAAATATTTTAAAATATAATCTGAAATAAAAATGAAGTGTGAAATGTCTGTATTAATAATATTATCATCAGCCATTATTAAAGTCAAAGACTTGAGTTTTCATCACAGTTACAGTCCCATTAATGGCTTTATCCTGACAAATGCACTGAAGATCTCTATTTTCCTCAGTTAACATTTTGGTCCACTTCATCATTTCTTTTCATTGGGAACCAAACGCTTCAAGTGCTACAGGTAGAGTGAAAATCTCAACACCACCGGCTCCCTTGGACAAATGCCTGGAAGCTACCCCTGGTCCTTCTTGGTACCACTGAATCAGGCGCAGACCTCACCCCCCATGCTCTGGATTCATTTTCTTGTCCCCCATCATACACAATACACACATATTTTCATTGTCCTCCACACCCAAGTTTCCTGATAAATAAATAACCATAAAACATGAAACAAAGATATAGATGGAACTTGAAAAATACTATTTAAGCACCTTCCTCCAATGTGACCAGTGCCTGCCGCCTCCCTTACCCCTTTCTTTTGCTGTATTTACTGTGCCTCTCTTTGATTGTGGTGTTTCTCTCCAGTTCAGTAGGAAAGGAAGGAAGGGGACAGTGCTCCTGATTTACAATATATCTCATCTGGATGAGGAAAGGAGGATTCATTCTGAAGGTACACGTGTTAAATATTAATTGTATCTATGTCTTTACACAGCAACAAAGTAAATATACAATTTTTAACAATGTGTTTTGAAAGGTCATGAAAATATATTAAAACACATCAAATCAATAATAAGAACTTAAAGCTACTCTCAGAAAACCCTAAATGGCTACATATACGAATTATAACCATCAGAAAAAACTTCATATCAAATCATTTCTCACTTCAGTATCCTCTCATGATCTGATGGAAAGATTTTTCTGCTCTGGAAGGAAATTATTTGTTTGTGATATCAGTATAATACTGATAGTTATATTGATTCATGTTAGACTATAGACTGGTGAAGTTTTTAAAGCCTTAGCATTGCACAGCTGATGAAAACCTCTCACTGGAGCTTTTGCCTGGGCAAGGTGCACATCAGGGTCCCCCAAGTGGTGTATATTTTGCCAGATTGTGTTTAATCAAGTCATGTAATGATTACTGTAGATTAAGAGGAAGTGCTTATATTGCTTTAAATTGTCTTGACTTATTGAAATAGTTTTACTGATACATCAAAATCTTGAGCTTCCTTGAACTTCTGTACAACACTGTTTCTCACATTCTTCTCATGTTCTTAGGAATGCAAATTTCAACACAATTTGGCCAAATTCAAAGTCAGAACCTGCTTTTAACTGGTACTCCATAACAGTCTTGGTTGAATCTTCCTGTTCATGCCAGTAACCTTTGGAACAGTCCATAGAATCATAGAATCACAGAATAGTTGGGCTTGGAAAGGACCTTAAGATCATCTCGTTCCAACCCCTCTGCCATGGGCAGGGACACCTCACACTAAACCATGCCACCCAAGGCTCTGTCCAACCTGGCCTTGAACACCACCAGGGATGGAGCATTCACAACCTCCCTGGGCAACCCATCCCAGTGCCTCACCACCCTCATAGTAAAGAACTTCTTCCTTATATCCAATCTAAACTTCCCCTGTTTAAGTTTTAACCCGTTACCCCTTGTCCTATCACTACAGTCCTTAATGAAGAGTCCCTCCCCAGCATCCCTATAGGCCCCCTTCAGATACTGGAAGGCTGCTATGAGGTCTCCACGCAGCCTTCTTTTCTCCAGGCTGAACTTTCTCAGCCTGTCTTCATATGGGAGATGCTCCAGTCACCTGATTATCCTTGTCGCCCTCCTCTGGACTTGTTCCAGCAGTTCCATGTCCTTTTTATTTTGAATCAATCATAGATTCATAAAATCACAGAATCATAGAATTGTTAGAGGTCAGAAGAGACCTTTAAAGGTCATCTAGACCATGTGGCTCCCACCTAAATTTCAAAATGTATCAATTGCTAAGTCCAGTTTATTTGAGTAAATACAATATTCTTGGTTAACACAAGTACCTTGCACAGGATGCTTCCAAAGGCAGCACATACATAGACATTGTCTCCCTTATATAAAGGGAAAATTCTGTGGGATTTCCATTTGCAAAACCTCCCTGACTTTCCTATAACTTCCTACAGTACCAGTACAGCAACATGTTTCTTGGGAAGATCTCATAGCCCTCATGCCCCAAAGCTCACAAACCCCAGGGGTTGAACATGCCTTGCAGGCTCTCTCTAAAAGTGAATCGCTTTAACCTCAAAATTCATAAACCGAAACGGCAACCCCATGGGTACTCGCTTCTTTGAAGCGTTAGAGGCTTGGTTTGTATTAAAAAAAAAGAAAAATCCTTAAAATCAAAAAAAAAAAAAATAATAATCCTTAAAATCTAGAAGTTTAACAGAATAGAAACACTGTTTCAGGTGATGGATCATGTAAGGTAATTACTGAAGTCTCACAGACTGTAAAATAGGATAACACAACGTATCTTCATTTTTTTCCTCTACCAAACACTGCAGTATCAGCCACTGTAGTCCTAAATTTAGCCAAACACAGCAATTATCAGATGTATTCAGTTGCAAAAGCTTTTGTCATTTTTGTGCCTGATGGTATACGGTTCGATCATAAAAGGGCAAATGACAGGCGGGTGTAAGAAATGAATTTTCTTCTTCTTACTGACATAGCAGGAGAAAGCCCCCTGCTGTAATATGGAAAATCTTTTATGCAAAAGAGCACAGCAACTTACAGTGCACAATCATTATGCAGATTTTTGTTTAGGTATTTTTTTCCCATTTCAGTTAAGGAAAGGGGAAAAAAAAGACGGCCTTAAAATCAAGTTTAAAAGTTCAAAACTGATTTTAGCATTAGGGTATATTTATAGGTTTAAGGGAATAGTGATTAAAATGCAATAAAGCTCTGTCTAAGTATTCACATGCCCTCTTTAAATGATGCTGTTTCTCTGATGATCTCGAGGCCATTGGAGTGAATATTTTTTCACACATAGCTGAAGCAAGGTGAGAGTCAGAGAGGGGTGCTGACTCCAGCAAGAAGCAGGCAGGGCCATCCTATGTTGTGTCCACTAGAAAAACAAAGAAAAGCCTGTACGTACATTTTAGGTACGCATTTAGTATTTATACTGCTATTTCTGAGCACTATCCAAACATAAAACTGTATAGAAAAATCCTGCAGGATTGAAGTCAAACTGCCTTTGGCATAAATAACTCTCCTTTCCACAAGGGCGACTTTAACCCCTTCTGGTAACAAGCAAAGGTCTTAAATAAAGGGCAAATTTACACCAAGGTCCTGGTGTAAAGTGGTCTTACTGCAAATAAGCATCACTCAGATTATCTACAGTGCATTCAAATGAAAACAGGAATGGCGTAAACATTTATTATTCACTAAAAGATACAGGAAACCTGCCCTTTGGCCCATATACACTGCAGGTAGGCAGGTCTCACTGGAGGGAGGGAGCAGCTTTGGCTGGCTAAAAGATGTGTGGTGGCAGAGCCTCCACCAGAGCCCCCACCAGAGCCCTAACACCACCCCCCCCACAATTTCCACAGCCGCAACTGCCTCCCAGGACTTCCTCTGATACTCCCACTGGATGTGGCATGTATCCAGCTCCATAACAGAGAGGTATTTAGAGGCTGTGAAGAAGTGCAATCTCCACCAGGACCATTAATCATTGTCCAAATACTCTCAGGAGGAGAGCACTCAACAGAAGACGGGGGGGGGGGTTGTTCCTTCTGAGAAAACCTGAGAGATGGGAAAGGGATTCCCTCCTTCTTCTTCCCATCACTCCCATGACTCAAAACTGTTGATGGAAAAGAAGATGGGATGAGGTGGGATTCTTTTTCCGGGATTTCTAAAGTCCATGACTCTTCAGCTAAAGGGAAAATGGCCAAAAAACCTTCAAGGTAAGCATATCATTGCAAAGCCTCATAGACATAGCAGTGCCTCACACTCCCCCAGGGGCTGCTCTCACAGACCATAGAATCCTAGAATCATAGAATAGTTAGGGTTGGAAAGGACCTTACGGTCACCATGGTCTCTCGAGGAGCTTCACGGGGTCTGTCCTTTTCACAGTGCAGCTGCAAAACAGGAGAATACAGAGTAATGAGGGAAATAAAAGCTTTACATCCCTAAAATACACTTCCCATAAGGCATCGGCATAGTATTTCCAGATCAAATGCAGGGTCACTTTCAGTTTGTTAAAACAGCTTCAATTTTAACAAACAAGCAAAAAAAAAAAAGAAATTGGGGTTTTTTTACTAGTCATCTATTTATGTATTTATGTGACAATTTTCTCCAGGAAAAGCATATATATAAATTGCTTTAAAAAATCTGTTAAGTTAGGAATCCCCATTTCTACTGAAAAACTGTCTCAATGGAAACTCTCTCTGAATTACTCATAGAAAACTGAATAAATCCCAACAGCAAGGCATGCTATGAAGAAATATTTAGTTCCTTCAGAAAAAAATAACCCCTTCAGTAACCAATGGCTAAAATTCAGCAGAACTGGTCCCAGCAAGTGCGAAGTAGCTATTGATTTCAATGAACCACTTCAATTTACCCCAGGTGAAGTTCTGCCCCACTGAGCTCAGGGAAACAAAATGTCACCTTTACTTTCTAAACACTCTTTCTCAAATCATATTCAGCTTGTAATAATGTGCAGAGAGTGTTTAGCTCAACATGCCTCTTACAGTTTCTGTTTGGGAGATGATTTTTCTTTTTAATTTCTCTGTCAGGCACACTTATTGAAGCGCACACGCTTCAGACAGATGCGATCTGCAAAAAAGGTATGAAAGACAGTGATTTATTTATGAAATTCCTGGTTGAGAGGATGAGGTAAGCCACACGACAATTTTAAAGCTGCTCACTACTGTAAGGCATATATGTAATATATGTAAAACATGAGGAGGGGAAGCATTGAGAATATTTGGTCACACTGCCTGCACGGGGTAGAAATGCAATGGGAGAAAAGGGGCTGTAAGGTGGGGAAAAGGCTGTAAGGACAAGCTCTGTTCTGCCTTTAAATTCACTTTTCTATCTCAGGGCCAGCAGTATTTATTATATGAGGTTTATACATAGGTCAAGTTTTTGGGTTTGAGTGTTTTATACTATGTAGTATAAACCTGAAGCTCTGCTCTGGCAGCAGAACACAAATTCACCGAATAAGAAGTCCCTGGACTGAAGCATTTTGCTTCTAACTAGACTCCTGTCCATGCCAAAAATCTTTCGCTCCAAGTAAGAGGCACTCTAAATTGCAGATGACTCCTGCCAAACCGGGCACACTGCAGTCCCAGGACTGCCGACACTCACTGCAGACACGTTTGGTTGCATGAGTTCAGTGCCCACCTGTGCCAGCAACCCCTCCACCTGAATGTGCTCTCCCTCCACACGGCGGCTGGACCTGGCACTGCAGAAGGTGAAAGGGCCAGAAGATATGTTCCAGCAATGCCACCCTGCAACATTTTAAGAGGGATTTCTCTCAATCCATCTCCTGCTGTTGAATGCCCCTAATGCCTCCTAACATCTGGCTCCTCTGGGAAAAGGCAGCAGGAGCATGCTCCCTTTCCATGCCACTCCATCGTATCAACAGAGACTGCCTATAACCACTGGAATAAAGTAGTTGGAGGTCATCAGTGTGGAGAGGAAAAGCACCAGTTTCATGGAGGTTGCAGCTAACAGGTTCAACAAAGCAACCTGACTGATGGGAGAGAGAAAGATGCAGGGAAAAGCAGCAGGAGCTGGTGCTGAAGTGACTCACCCTGGATGGTAGAGTCAGCCAGAAATATTTTCAAACATCTTTAAAAGCCATATTTATAGAAAAGAGATATTTAAAGTATTTATTGGTCCTGTACGTAGCCTTGAGTGGGTAGCAATTTTTGCAGGCCTTTCAGCTGCAATGACATTGAGAGGGAATTGTAGAGGTAAGCTGGTAACATGTGAACTAGCTGGTTCAGAAAGGACAGCCCATGCACAGGGACAGGATCATGAGACTGCTGATGCTGGCAAAGCTGGAGTCACTACAGTAAGGTGTACACAACAGCAATCACAAAGAGATTGAAGCTGACCTAAATCTCACTAAGCAGGAGAGAAAAGTTGTGTTCAATACGGTGGAGAGTGGGGCTTTGGTGAAGAGATTCAAGGTGTGAGCTAAAAACTAAACATGATGTCAGCCACCAGCCAAAAAGATGATCCTAACAGTAGTAGCTGGGATACATTGCCAAAGGCAGAGGTCACCATCACCACACAGGGGCAAAACACTATGTTCATTTTAAAATTAGGTTTTGCTTCACTGTCTTCCTGGCACATACTATAGAAAGGAACATAAAACCCCAAGGGTAAAACAGCAAACCCATTCACACAGGGCACCGGTTCTGGGATAAAGCAGAGTTGGAAGTGGAAAGATTGGGCCAAAAATGACCAAAACAGTGCGACACTGCAAGAGACAAGCCCTTGAGTTATCCAGTCTAGTTCCAGTGGTGATGAGCAAGGCTCCTTCTGCCTTTAAAAAGGAAGAGAAGGAACTTAGGAGGCTGCCCGTATCTTCCCAGCAGTAAAAGGGGTTAGAAAAGGAGTTCTCACCAACAGTGTAAGAGCTATTGCTGGCAAGATGAGGAACTACTTAAACCACGTTTGTTGTGTCTTATCTTTCTCCCCATGTGGTGGGAAAGTTAGATGGAGGGCAAGGTGAGGAGATGGCAGGTGTTGAGAGCTGTTGCGTGGATGTATATAAGAAAAGATGCCATTAGTCAAGACAGTAGATGAAAAGAGTTCTGGCAGTGCCCACAGGGTAAATCTGAAAAGGAAGATATGGCAAATGTTGGAGAAAGCCCCAGGGTGGTGAGGCCAGGGGTGGAAAGGAGATGATGAAAGAGGCACGGAGAGATACCAGATGTAAAAGATAACAATCCAGTACAATTTTGCCAAGAATAAATGCTTCTGAGCCATCACTTTGAATTTACATGTCCACCCTCCACTGGTAAAACCATTAGACAGACAAGAATTAAGAGAGAAATCACTCGCCTGCAAACAGCTTGCCGAAGACATGACATTCCTGAAGAAAAATGTACACACTCATAAGCAGCTTACAAGAGCCAGCTATCTTACCCAGCTCACCCCCCACGAACACTATTAAATCCATGAGAATCAGAACAAGGAAATTGTCAGGGAGAGGCTGCGATTAGCCAGGGTCTCGGCTAGAAAAATAGTTTATGAATTGTCATAAAAATTTAAAGCTCAGCCTCACATTAGCTGCTGCAGTGTCTCTGCTCCCACCTACAGTACAGTTCGTCTCTCTATCTTCATCACTGACTGCGCCAGTACAAGGGGGAAATGTTCTGAATGTTTCCCCAAAATTAAATGCTGAAACAGCATATCATTATTTTTGATATTCAAATCTATTATTAATAAGCTATACACTACAAAAAGATTCTGAACATGAGTGATACATCTCATAATTCTGACCTATTAACAGAAGTACGTGAGTCTCCGTGGACCAAAAGAACAGTTGTTAGAAAAGACGAATCTCTTACTCAAATCAAAATAACATGACAGTTCCATGAAAGATTTCAAAATAAAAGTTAATAAGTTAATGGATTCATTTTACTGCTCCTAAGACACAGACAATGCAGAACAGTCAGTCATCTCCTTATTAAATAATATGAATCAACGACTCCATCATGTTTGTATTAAGCAACAGGCAATAATAATGTGCTCCCTGACAGAGTATTAGGGTGAGCATGCCAGTAAGAGGACAAGGCTAAAGCACACTCTTAATTTTCTTTGGAGCCAGTGAGCACATACTTAAAAGTCTGGCTTATACCTAAGTATTACTCTGAATGAAGGGGCAGAGGCATTGCCACAGCTGAGGGCCACCATTTAAGCCAGCAAAACCTTTCTGCTTTGCAATCACTTCTAATCCTTGTGGTTTGGGTGAGACTCATCCCTCCAGCTGAATTGTCACCCACCATGCAGCAGAGTGCTGGGAGTACCCTGCACCTTTTCTCTTGGCCACCCTTGAGGGAGCCCAGGCGAGCGGCTTGAACTGGGTTGCTGACTTTTCAGTGGTGAAAATGAGGGGAGAGAAACACCACGCTCAACCTGTGCTGGAGGAAAATGTTTTGGAAAACTTTGATAAAAAAAGGATGTTTTTTCCAGTGTGGGGAGAGTAAAAATAAAATGACATTTCCTTGATACAAAAATAATTCTTCTGGCTTCTTTCATGTGCTGTAGCCCAGAAATATTCCAGGGGAGAGAGGAGGGACTCGGGAAGAAGATTGCCTTTAGGGAATGATGGAGTGACTTTCCTCAGCCCCATGGAAGTCCTGTTCGGTTTTGGCTGAATTATGTGGTTTGATAATCAAAGTCTTTATATGCACAGGAGTTCTTTTAATAAGAACAAGGGGTAACAAAAAATGTTCCGTTTGAAAGTGGGCTGCATTGTACAGGCATAAGGGACTTCATTGCCTACTCAGAATAGATAGATGTGGGGGTTTTGATGTAGGAAATCAGGTGGTGAAAGGAGTGGAAACAAACGACTTGTGGTTCCTGTCATTTAAGCATGAAAGGGGCATGTGAAGAGGCATTGATTTCAGCCACACTAGGCTGAAGGGTAAGGACTATTCATACAAGTAAGGCTTTGGAGGACTGGGCTTGTAAACTGCAGCCGCTTAAACAAAAGTCTGGGGCACCTGTTTCAAGAGTCCCTAAGTCTGGTTTCTTCAAGGGCCTTCCCCTCTTAAGTCAGTGAGGATCTATCTACCCCTTCCAGAAGAGCTTTGCTTTATAGAGAGTCTTTGCCTAGGATAACAGGGGGAGGGATGAGGGAGGCAGTCTGCTGATGGGACTGTGGCCAAGCAGGACCTCTGCAGGCTGCTACCGCAGAGCTTGCTGTACCAGTGCGGGTGGCATACAGGGGCCCCCACATTTTTCATTCCCTCAGGCACTTTTGAAACTGTTGCCTTAAGCCTGCAGCAAGCTTTCAGCAAGGGTCTCTTAGGCTTTCAGCAGTTTCTAACTGTATTTATGTGCTTTATCCCTTGAGTAGGATAAACAGGTTAGCAATTAACTCTAGCTTCCTGACCTCTAGCTGGATAACCAGATCTCTAATTATATTTTCAGTGGCAGTGAATCTCAAGAGTTGTGTGACACTATCTGAAAGTTTCCATTCCTGTGTAGCATCTGCAGCTTTATGTGGAAATTGGCAGCCAGGAATGTATTGGCAAAACAGAAAGGCATTTTTCCCCCTCCCTGGTACTTCTGCCTCCTCAGCACTTCCAAACCTCCCACACTGTTGCTTGGAAAATACTTACCCTGGTAGGTGATTCCTCATACACCAGAGAGTTCACATTGAGAAGCAAAAGATTCTGAGAAATATTTTATTCAAAAATCCCTTTTATTTAATAGGATCCTTGTGGTAGGGAATATTCACAGGAGTTGAGAAACTGCAGCCAGTGATAAGCCGCATTTCCTTTAGAATTTGTTTTCAATACATTGTTTCTCAATAGAGCACTACGTTGGGAGAGACTGTGGTTTTATTTCTTTGTACAGCTACAGAATCATTATTTATGGAGAAAAAACAAATGTACCACTTAATGTAGGAACATAAGTGACCTTTGGAAAGGTGATATAGTTGGAGAGACAACTCTGGAACTGGCAGGGCACATCTCAAAAACAGAGTATCTCGATGGCCTAATGCCAGAAGCTAACAGTGACAAAGCAGAGCAATTTGGAAAATCAGCTTGCTGTCATCCTGTATGCATGTAACTCTTGAAATAAAACAGTGATCTAATATAAAGGAAGTATATGGATTTACTCTGACATCAATGCCAAGCATCCATTCTAAGCAAGTGCCACACACATCCTTGTTTTAAAAGGAGTAAAATACACAGCAAATTAGCAACGCTCCCATATCCAGAATGAGTGGTCTTTGCACTGATTTTTTCTATATGGTTTCCCGCTATCTGCACAGAAAATGCATGTCTGTGACTGACCCCACTTCATTACCCATATGAATTATCTTCTGTGAGCATGGCTCACTCCCCCCCACATTAGGATGGGGGAAGAGAATCAAAAGAGTAAAATTGAGAAAGCTTATGCTGCTGAGATAAAGACAGTTTAATAGGTAAAGCAACAGTCATACACGCAAAGGAAAACAAGGAATTCATTCACCGGTTCCCAAGGGCAGGCTGGTGTTCAGCCATCTCCAGCAAAGCAGGGCTCCATCACATGCAACAGTTACTTGGGAAGACAAACAGCATCACTCCGAATGTCCCTCCCTTCCTCCACCTTCCCCCAGCTTTATATGTGAGCACGACACCATATGATTGGGATATCCCTTTGGTCAGTTGGGGTCAGGTGTCCTGGCTGTGTCCCCTCACAATTCCTTGTGCACCCGCAGCCACTCACTGGTGGGGTAGTGTGAGGAGCAGAAAAGGCCTTGACCCTGTTTAAGCATTGCTCAGCAATAACTAAAACATCCCTGTGTTACCAACACTGTTTCCAGCACAAATCCAAAATGCAGCCCCAGACCAGACATCCTTCCCACTCCTGGGAGTCTGCCCTGTTTTCATGTGTGGCAGAGGTTAGAAAGGCTGAATTCTGCAACTCTCTGACCAACTGCAATTACCTTTTCTGCTGTAAAGCAAAGTGATCTATCTAAAGCAAAGTGATCAAACTAAAAGTGATCTATTCTGAGATTAAAGCTAGCAACGAAAGGTGGTGCTCATCCATTGACATAATCCAAAGATGCCATCACACATAATCATACTTTTAATGTATAATAAAACAATACTTCATACATTTATGGAGTGGAATAAAACCAATCTATTACCAGTGCCTTTTAGTTTGGTTTAGTTTGTTCAAGAAACGATGACTTAATAAGAGCCCTCCTCACAGAAAGCATGCAGGTCTGAATTAGAAGTGCGAAACTGAATTTATGAAATAACCTTGGCAGTAAATAATAGCACACCTCAAACCAGGACTCATCACACACCTGTGTGGTAGGGGATGGCAGTCAGCTTCATCACACTTAGAGTATCAATCACTCCCAGGATGCAAATTCTGTGAGATACAGAAAGATTACTTTACATAACCTGCAGAAAGTAGTTGGATCAATGTAATAAAAGCTTCAGCACAGCATTGTACAGCCTACAAGTGTCCTTAAGAGCACACCTTTTTCATTATTTTACATATGAACAGAAGTATGGCAAGTAGACCAAAGTACTAACTCTTAGCTGTGGACATACTAGGCTTCAATCAAAGATTAATTCAAAGCTTTCAGTAATGAGTGTTGACTCTTCTGGTAGGAAGTATCTCCTTACTCCAAAGCAGCAGCAAAACTCCCATGGCCTTCATTAAGGGTGGTCTTAGACCGTATGCATGTTTTTCCGCTCTGCTTCTTTCTGACAACCACTGGCATTCCTGAGTGGTGCCCAAAGGAAGCTCAGACAGTACGACACACAGCTATATCCATGTGTGTTTACCATCCTAGCTGGAACTGCTGCTCTGGAAGTGTCCCCTAGGGAGAGAGATGACTTCCTGAACTGCAGCCCTGCATAGACCTGCCCCTGTCTGTTTCTGCATGAGCACCCAAAGGAAATATCTGTATTTCCAAGCAGCCCAGCATCCAGTAGCTAAGCTGTTCTGAAAATTCAGCCCGTGGCTGAGGTATATATGTAAAAGTCAAATTCTCTTAAAACATCTGTCCCAAAAGGCTGGCCAAACCCTTCTGAACCCATGTCCTCAATGGCCATGCTGGGTGCTGGAGCAGGGGGAGCCAGCCTGGACACCCACTACCTCATGTGGTCAGTGTGGCAGGCAGACAGGCAACCAGGCCCTTTGCTGTGGAATTAAAACACTGCAGCCAGAAGGACACAGACTGGCTTATTTATTTTTTTCTACTACATGATATGATACTTAGGTTCCATTTACTGTACATACAGTCTCCTATTTACTCTGTTACTTGTTAAAACTGTGTTTCACAGTAAACCCCTGTTTCATGTATATTGCAAGTGATTTCTGACACCTGGATACCTTAGAAAAAAAGATGCATGAATATGCGTACGAAAAAAAATGGAGATCTCTTTTTCATTCTCTTGTTTTTTACTGTCAACAAAGAAGTATAAATGCATATACATAAAAACATAAATCTTAAAATGCATTTCATATGCTTTTTATATATTAAACAGAACTGTTTACTTTCAGTTTCTTATTTTATTCCTTTTGAAAAGAGATTAATATATAAAAAAGTTTTTAAATAAGGCATTTCACTGCCACTTCTTTTCTGTTGTACTATTTATCACTGCTTTGAGACTGCAGAAAAGAAAAAGGATGCAAATAGCACTTTATTCCATAAGTCTTTGGTCAGATTCAGCTGCCTTCCATGCTGATCAGATTTCCTTTTTTTAATTTTGGCAAGGTTTAGCTATAACCTATCTTCATATTAGACTTTGCAATATAATCCTTGTTATCTGAGCCCATTTACACCTGTCATCACACAGGTTTTAATTTTTCTTTTCTTGTCATTTTTTTATTTTTTTTTTTACTTCTTTTTTCAGGAAGGGCAAGATTCACAGATATAATCCCCACCCTAACTGATGTATTAATCATCAGGATAAAAGATGATAAATTTGGGCTGCCTGCATAAGCACTTTAAAGTGAGCTGTTTCTTATTTTAGAGGGGTATCTTTTTACTGAAAGCAAAAACATTGGAAACAGTTAAAATGTTATGCTTACCGGTGGCTTCCTATTAGCTCTTTATAACTTCAAACCATAAACAGCATACTGAAGAGTTACTGGAGAGGAACAAGAGCTCTTTCAACACGAGAGCAGTCAGATACAGGCAGCAGTTCTGCAAAGCCTGTGAGGGGGCACAGGGCTGGAAAGCTGGGGAGATTCAGGTGCTGCAGTCAGATCCAGAGCTAACTGAAGTCTGCTGGCCTCAGCATAATACAAGTGGAAGTCTCAATTCACTAAAAAATACCCTTACAGACCCGCTTAATTCAGGGCACATCCGGTCACTGGCATCACCCGCCTGCTGGAAATAAGGCACATGTCTAAATCCTGAGAGGAGTCTCGTACCCATTGCTATTTCCATTGGGGCTGGGGGCTGGGGGAGGACATGAGGGCTGCGATCCAGAGCGCAACAGCAACATTCATAACAGCCTTCATTCCTCTGCAATAATTCCTCTTCCTATGTTTTACAGAGCAGTCATTTAATATTTGTTTCAAGATAATTAATTTTGGAAATGCTCTTCATTAAAATTGAACAGAATGTCATGTGTTCTGCATGCACCACAGGAACCCAGGTAACCTGGGTCTTATGCTGTGCAAAGATGGAGGTGGAGGAGCTATAGATAGGATGGAGAGCATGCAGATTTGCAAGATTGTTTTTAAAATGGGAATGAACTGACAAACCTAATTTTCCTTGGCGCAGCAATGGCTCACGTCTACTCAAGAATTAGTAGATAAAAAAGTGTTGCATATTCAGTGTGGAACCGAGACTTCTGCCTTTGCTGTGTCATTACTGAAGCATATAAGGCCAGAAAAATAATAAACCCCTGTTTCCAAGTGTTACTCTCACTCTGTTCACCTCTTTGGAGCTTGACTGAAGTGACTGAGAAGGAGGAAGAAAACAGCAGTCAAACCAAGGCTCTGGCTATAAGGCTGCTACAGCTGCTCTGTGCCCATTTGCACGGACAAGCTGGGCCATGGGAAACTTCTGCAGCCTCTTCCAGCAACAGCATGTCTTGATGGGCCAGGAAGGTCAGGGTGAGCACCAGCCATCATGACAAGGAACAATATAACTTTAACTGGTGTCTGTGGCTTATCACTGAAAAGTTTTAGGGCATCTGGTGAGGGTAACTCCACGTTGCATTGCATAATGCCATTCAACTCAACACTGCACTGCATAACGCTGTTCTCTGTTTTCCCCAACAAAATAAAAAGGTGATGGCTTCTTTCACTTCCAGCCAGAAGAAAGAGCGTAATGAGCTTGTGCTCCAGCAAATAACAGGTCAGATTTCCTTTCCTGGTGAGGGCTAATTTTCAATGACAAATGAAGTGTTCCACCCACATTATGAGGGAGGCTTTGGGATGAAAATAATGCACACACAATGTGTGGTTATTATCTGTCATTGCCATGTGCAACTAAAACCTTTTAAAAAGCATTTGGTCTTTTGATCAAACTCTTCACAAGGGATAACTCAAATTTGGATGTCCAGTCCTAGTCAGCTGGGGCCAGATATGTGATCACACAAGCACATTTTAATTTATGTAGAGAAACTTAATTCTGGCATGCTGTAACTTTTGAAGGCTCAATTATTCAACCTTCATACCCCTCAGACAGATGGAATTCAGGAGGAGGAGAACTTTATTACTTGTTTTAAAATAAATGTATCACTGGGTAGAAGAATTAAGTCTTCCACTCACAATTAGCTCTGTGGAACCATTTCTTACTTGAAATAATGGCAGTAACAGGCTGTTATCTTCTAAGTGACACTCACCAGAAGTGTGTGGCAGCATGTCCAAGGCTAGCACATCCACTGCTACTTGAAAGTCAGAACACAAGAGCTGAGAGACAACAGTCTTGGATCCTGCCCCTTGGATCCCCCCATTCAGCATCATATTCTGTCCTACTTCAGGGCCTGATGCTTCCCTCATTCTCTTAATCTCATCCAACTCCTGCTCTGCTTTCCCCTTTCTCCTCTTTTCTTGTCTGAACCTGCATCCTCCCTCTATCTTTCTGCACTTCTGGGAGTTTCCCCCTCTCCATATTCCAGAGGCATTCCAGAAGATGAAAAACATAAGATCACAAGAGAGTGACCACTACTGGCAATTCCCCCACCCAGAAACGCAGAAACTTAAAGTCACCATAAAGAGAGGTTGCAGGGAAAACCTCCCCAACCCACTCACTTGGGATCTCTTTCTCCTTCTACAATCTAATCATGACAGGGTAAGGAGAGAGGGTGGAGCATGTTAAATGTATACGGAGCCTGCAAGGACTGTATCTGGCCCAGCCTCAACAAGCAGCTGTAAAGTGGCATTTTCAGAAATATCAGAGCTTGGTTAAAGGCACTTCCTTGTCCTACAGAATGCCGAGTTTCTGTACCAAAGCCTATTGTGCCAGATCTTCCCAATGAAGTAATTGTGGTATTTTTTTTTAGGATGTTCAAATATATCATTTTCCCCTAATTTCATTCACTAAAATGACTGAACCACAAAACTGTTTCCAAGGTGGTTTGCCGGGAGTCAAGGACTAGCTGAAAAAGAAAGCTCTTTCGTTGTTGTAATCTTGGCAAAGCTATAAACAATACTGCCAGTCCCAAGCATTAAGAAACTACAAATCAGGCCATGCACAAGAAGCCTCATAGATCAGCTGTAAAACTGTTTTTCAAATAGTAGTAGAAGCAGGCACCTGCAGTTGAGGTGGTTTATCTTTCTCATTGCATTCACAAGGCTTCCCTTTCAAACTTTGCAACTTTGAAAACAAGATGCTTTTTTGTTTGAAATGAAAGATAGGCTGCTTATATTTTCACTTGTCTCCTGGATCTTGATCTGGATGAAAACATCAAGCACTGAAACACTTGAATCAAGACAGATGGCAAAACTACATAAGCAGAAGGAAGCAGAATCTTATGGTGAAAAGCATCAGGGAGCCTATCTATAGATGATAGCACCAGTGTGTCCATCATACTCCTTATTTCTCTTATAATAAAATTGCAGCCAATTAATCCTGACTCTGTGGTTAGTTACGTGTTCCTTTCCACCACTTTGGATAAGATTACATAAGTGGTGATTTAGGGGTATCAGTACTCAGTATAGCAAGAATAGGTTCAACTTCTTGCTCTGATCTTCTTCCTATCCTGCAGCGTGTCTGTTTTCTTACCTAAAGCTACAATAAGAAAACGTTATAACATTTCTAAATGGCAGATCCCCTAAAAAGTCCCAGTGAAGTCTATAGTGGTGGGCATAAACACAGGGATCAAAGCTGAGCCAGCAGCTTACATGAGATGGGTCACACCTTTTGGGGTTCAGGCTCTGCAGAGATGCATGCAGCAGCAAGCACACCTTTGTGCAACTCCAAGCATGCCAGGGGCTCGCTGGCAGCTCCAGCTGCAGTGGAGACAAGAAGCACACCCTGTCTGCCATGTTTGCAAGACAGGATGCTGAGAAGCTTACCAGACAAGCAGCTTCCATCGATGCCACACCTGGCTGCCCTGGGGAGCAGGGTGAAACTCTATGGAAGAGGGACCGCAAAGGGATGTCTCCTGAAAACACTCCTCTCCAGTCCCATCCTTCCTGTTCTACGGGGTCATCACACTAGCTGCTATAGCTGCTTTTGCATCTGCTGACTCTTTCCCCAGAAAGTGAACCTATGCATAACATAGTATGTGGTGACTTGATATCTAGAGGATTTGTTAAGAGAAGAATAGACATGAAAAAGACAATTAAACAGACACTTGTTCCTGCACTCCTATATTCCTGCAGCTTCCAGAAGAGTTTCCTGAATACGTACCTAATCCCTTCCCTGCCCACTTTCTAAAAGGCACGCTAACTTTGACAACTGCAAGACAAGGATATTCCTAATGCACCCAAAACTTCCCGGGGCATATATTGGATGGAATTGATATCACAGGCAGCAAGATATGGGGCAGTAGTCCGATAATAATAAACCAAGCTATATGGGCATAGAGATGGAAAGAGAGATGCAAAATGTACAGGGCAAGAATCCCAAATCTTCTTTTTTTAAAGAAGGGGAACATTTCAAAGCAAGTATCGGGCGCCTGTTGTTACATGCTAAAGGGGAAATCTTCCCACCAGATCCACAGGGCAGGTCTGAGATAAGCAGCTGGAATGATAAGTTATCTCAGTTGTGATTCAGGAAATGTAGATGCTTCAGAAGCTAATGGTATGTCAGCAGGGAAACAGACACACAGTGGACTGGGGTTAAGTAAGCCTGGGAAGGTGTTTATTCATGTATAACATTTGCAGAGAAGGTGACTCCCTACCTCGTTCCTGGCTGCCCAGAGAAGCTGCTTATAACCGAAAATATGCTTGGAGAAGCCAAGTGGAAAGGTCAGGGTGGGCAGGGGGCCGATCCCAACCATGACACCCCTCCTGTCAGAGCTGGTACTCCCCGTCACAGTATACATCCCAGGAAGGACAGAGGCTCATCCACCTGTGCCTGCTGGCCACTGCACCTCAGCATAACCCAGCCAGGCTCCTGCCGCAGCACTGGCGGAGGGGACCGCTGCCAGCCTTCAGAGAGCACAATGTGCTGCAGCTCAGAATTAGAGGTCACTTGCGCATCCTTCTGCATCGGGCTGGATCAACTGTAGCTGAACCATTCCCAGCAGACACTTGTCCAATCTATTTTCAAAATCCTCCCACTGCCATTCTAGGCAATCTATTCTTGTGCTTTGCAACTGAAAGTTAGAAATCTGTTCTTAATGTCTAGTCTAAATCATAAGTCAACTTTAAAAATGACAAGTACAGTTAAAAGTTTCAGGATTTTCCTAATAATAAATGTGGTTTTCATTTCATTTCTCTGTTGGTTGCTGCACATTCAGGGTAGTTTCAAATCACTTTTTAAAGCATCCCTCTAGAATCATGATATATAGAAATGATATTTTTTATTTTTCACAAGAGCCGAGATTGTCATTTAATTACATAAATCCAGGAGTAGGAGATTTAAGGGGGAAAAAAATGGTGATAAAGTCCTGTGAGAGATGCCAACACTTAATATAGCTGTAGAAGGCTTTTTTTTTTAATCCGTATGCCTCACAGACCCATTGCCCAAAAATGTTCTGAAGTGACGGCAAAGTCAAGCAGAAAAGACATCTCACCCATAACTAATAGAGGAAAGTATCTCAGGTGTGGGAGATATGTATTCCTATGTATGTGCATACATATTCCTTCATTTACCTCTCATCAAAATCCACTTTAACTATCCCAATCATGTGAACACTGCCTTTCAGCAGACATTTCACAAGATACCATTCAAATGAGTTAATAGCAAGAGAAGCAGTTTCCTCCTGCCTCTCCAAAGGTGAACCCATATGAAACCACCACTTCGTTCTGGTGCTTGAATCCAAAACTATTATTCAAAAGTAACTGGACTCACTCTCTGCTTCAAGGTTTTTAAAAGAGCAGCCTTGGCTTGCTTACCAACCCCAATGCAAATGCAGAAGCTCAACGAAAACACCAACAGGATCTTTTACGTCAACAGAACTAGATATGAAGGAAAACTACAGTGCCTCAACTTTCTAGATACACATGGCTGGGCACTGAATTATCCCTGGAGAGCACCACATTCAAAACTTACATCCTCAAAGCTTGTTATTTATCACTGGAAATGCCTAGCTTTTTAACTAAGGCGTCGCATTAATTTTGCTTAACTTTAGCATCCTCGGTGTAGTCAGCTGTATCTGAGTTACTTACCCTAGGCACTGCGTTTCATCCCAGAGCAGACACAGCAGATGAGCTGTGTCTCTTGATGACTGAAAATGGTCCCTGCATTGCAGACATCTCAAGTTAGGTGACACGATCCTCACCCTCGCTGCCTGCATCCTGCTCTCCAAAATCACCCGGGAAAGAGAAGAGAACAATTCTTGATAAGAGAAGAGAAACTGCCATTGTTCACCATTTTTTATTAACAGGTTGAGGCCAGCCAGCATGCCCCTCCAGAGGTGCCCACTTACCACAATTGTAATTACGATAACTTGGAGTGCTGTTACAGACTGAGGATTCCCTTGGAAATGCAGGTATCTGAAAATTAGGCATTGTAACCCTGAGCTTCAGCCTCCTTCTAGGTGTCTCACCTAAAGTGTTGTTCTGGTGTCTTTTCTGTACCCTCAGCGAACACATGGGAGGGAAGGGGGCTTATGGTTATCCTAAGCAATTTAATTATCATTTTTACCACATCACATCTAACATCTAGCATGCAGATACCATCTTTGTATGCCTCTGAATAAATAAATGTATATATGTATATTTTTATATATGTAGCAAGTGCCTTTTTTGTTTAGGAACATAATAGCAAATTACATTAAAATCAAAAATCACTATCTATGATCTTGTCTTCTGCAGGCTAACCTAAGAAAATAAATATGGTCCAATGCAAGGTCCAAGAGACTTACAGTTCTCTTACTTAGTCCACCTGAAGCCAGTCCCTCTCAATCTGTTCTCCACTCCTTGGACCTCTCTCTTTGCTCCACCGCAGATGAAAATTCTGCCTGTGCCTGCTTTCCCACCATGTCCCAACCCTTTCTTTATGGCTCAAGAAGTCTGAGACTCCTTTACCCAGCCAGTCCTAGGTACTCCAGCTCTCCACACAGCTTCCCACTTACTTGGAGTGCCCTCATTAAGCTTTCCTTTTCTTTCAGACAGCAGGATCCTCCTCCCAACCCTCAGACCCAGGTGCCTTCTTCACCCAGCTCTAATTTCTTTGCCAAACCATTCCTACTCCACTTTTCTCATTTTCAGCTCTCACTCCTAACCTGCAGAGGCCAAGTCATAGTTTCTCTCCCCTTCCAACTTCCAGAGGGGAACCAAAATCTGTGCCTCCACGTTCTCCTTTTTTCACGCTATCCCTTCCCCTCCACCCCTGTGCCAGGGAGTTCTGCTGTCTGGCCCACGTGCCTGCCAATAACAAGTCTCCCCGGAAGCAGCACAGAGCAGGTGGGAGCAGAAGGGGCAGCCTGTGCTCATTTCCAGCAGCACTGCACTCAGTTACTGAGGGTGCCTGCATGCATTCAGAAAAGTGAGCAAATTAAGGTTTTGCAGGGAGAGAAGAACCTTCAAATATGTCTGTTGCTGCTTTGCTGCATACATACAACCTGGGCTTTTTCCAGACCTTTTTGACTTGACTTGACTGGCATAACTGCTTTTCTTTGCATCCTGGAAGTTGAATGCCATGATCTTTGTTCTCACTCCTAAAGATCTGGGTAACAACAGAAAATTTTGCCCTTGTTCATATAATCTAGAAACATTATAATCAGTATTTCTTTCCATAGAAATATCAGGCAGCTACAACAAGAGGTAGCTCTTCCATTCCCACCTGTAATGACCAGGATGCGTTTAGATTGGAAGCAAAGAAAAGAGTGACGTTTTCATCTCCTACTTCTTTTTTTCAGCAGCCATGAACACGGACGTCTTCCAAAGCAATATGTGAACACTGGATGTTGACCAGACTTTTGTGGATGTTTACTAAAGAAATATGTTGTTTTAGTGTAAAAAGTGGCTAAAACAAAAAGGAAGAAATGAAATATCAGGGTAGGAGCACAAGAAGCCCTGCAAGAAACATCTGAGATCTAGTAGAAGCCACTAATGCCCCCAAATTGCTCTTGAGTAGTTCAGTCTAACCATGATGCACCACCCCGAGAGGTTTGAACAGTCAATGCCAAAACTCTGGAGCAGAAGGACTTACTCAAAGACCCTTCTGGCCGCATAAAGACCTTCTCTTTTGAAAGTAGAGCAGGTTGTTGTGAAGCCAAGGAGGAGAAAGCAAACTGACACGGGGTCCCCCAGGATTATCAGTCCCAAATGCAAAAGTTACTGTCAGCTCGAAAATGCTTTCCTGACATGCTGAAGACAAAAATCACGTATTGCCAACCACCCTCACCACACATCCCAAAACGTGCCATATGGCTGAAAGTACTACAACTGATTTTGCCATTTCTCGGGTTCTGGTGTGTATTGACAATGAGTCTAACATATAAATTACATCATCTTTTAACTTTTTGTGATGTATAACATTGGACAGCTTTGTCTGGGACAATCCATCATGAACTAGTCTTGTTGACATTTTGGATTCTCTCTTCTGACCCTGTCCTTTCAGCACAGGCATAATTGTGCTTACGATAATTTTATTCCCACTTAGGCAGTGATTTTGCACACCTTTGAGTTACAGCATCACTAAGAAGCCAGTTCTCTGTATGACTGCTGAAACAAGGCACCTTGAACCAATTTATGCTGAAGCGCAGTCTGGTGGCGTAGCAGTAAATAAAAGTGGGTAAACTCACCTCTCTCAGTGCGCATAAGTAGGTTAACTCCTTTAGTTGTGTTTACTGTTGACTATACCACAGGTGCAATCTCAGCTGGGGGCTCCCTACTGAGGAAACACCAACCATATGTTTGCACAGCAGACAACAGTGAAGAGAGGGGAGTTGTACAAGCCAGTCGTCATGATATGAAGGGTCTAGCAGGCACAGGGGAGGGATGCAGGCTCCTTTCTACCACCCAGCTCACGTGCAGAGAACCTCCCATTTCAGCCACTTTTGGGAATCATCACTAATTTGTCCATACTTACATGCCACCATGCAGTTTTAGGGATTTATTTTTAGGTATGTAACGTGTTAGCAATCATCTAGGGTGATGGGCAAATCTCTTTTCTTTAAGAATCGACTGTTGGGTGTCACTTTAGTAGGAATATACAATTATTATGGGACATGAATTATTTGAGCTGCTCCCTGCAAAGACTGATTGCCTTTCACGGGCTGTGTGTGGGAGCAGCAGAGAAATCCCTGCTGCTCTAACCAGTGTCAGCACCCCCAGACAGTCAAGCATTGCTGCAGAAGTGCACCATCATTTCACTGTAGCAGTGCTAGAGCCGAGGTTCCTGCCCACCCTGCTCTTGAAATAAGAGTGATTGAGCTTGTTTCAAAGCACCAATTTGCATGAATATGAGAAAATGTGCCGGACTGCTTATATTTAAAATTAAACTTTGAGCTATCACTCATCACAGCAAAGGGAAAGGGACATCCCACCACATCCACGTTTGCATTTTCAGGGAAGAAACAGTCATGTCAGCTGCAGCCTCCTTTCAATACAAAACTTCTAGACCATTTATTAGGTTATTGTAATGAATAGGCTGTTACAGTCCCAGTGGGATAACTGGGTAACTAGCCAAGTGCAGGTGTATTTTAGTTGAAGACCACAACTTCACAACATCACCCACTCACTTCTGCCCTCTTCAACACATTTTTCAGCTGATGGGAGGAGATGGAAGGACAGACATAGAGTTTGACCAGGGGAAAAAGTAACCTCCTACAGAAACAGTTGCTGTAAAGCTGGAAGGAGTGACGAGCAGCAGTTCTGCAAGCTGCTATGGCTTTTTGCCGCTTGCCACAATATTCTTTTGTGTTGTTTCTGGATCTGCTTTCTTTACATGTGTTTTTCAACTGTTTCTGGCTGGAGGTTGTTGTTGCTGGAGTGTGGATATGTTGCTGGAGATGTTATTCAAGTTCACAGGCTGCCTGTGTGCTACGAACTTCCACTGCCCTCGGCACTCCTACCCCCGTCAATCTGACTTTATTTGCCATCAAATGTAAAATAAAAGGTGTCTGTTTTTTAAAAGTGAAAGGTATCTGGGTTTTATCAGAAATCCTAGTTCCCTGGGGCAACTTGGTTTTAGCATTGGTCTGGCCGTGTGGTCTAGGCTTTGTACCTGAAGGAGAGGCGCTTCTGGAGCTCAGGGATGTAGCCCAAGAACAAGACAATTTCCTCTTATCTCCTCCACAGCCTCCTCACCTACCCAGTTTCTGGAAGCTGTTAGTTCACATAGCATTAAACGTGAATGGTTATCAATGCAGTCCAGAAAGTGAGCAAGAGACTCTAATAGACAAGACATGATTATCTAATTTTTGTTTTAGACAAATGCTGAAGCTCGGGGAGGAGCAGTAACATCGCAATAACAGAAACTGAGTTTCAGTTGAAAAAGCAATTATCTGGTACTATGGGATGAAGTGAGAACAAGGTAACACCTTATGATATTATGATTTCTTTTCTCAGCTTTCTAGCAGTTTTGACTTTGTGTTTAACTGTGAAGCCACCAAAGGCCACCCCAGCTCCACTGCGGTCCTACTTCTTCCCAAAACAGCCTCTGAATAGTAATGCTGGGTGTATTCCTGGCTTCCTTGGACTTTTCTTCGGGAGCTTTCCTGGAGGCTCAGCACGAACACAGACCCGAGGAAAGACCATCAAGATGCCTTCAGCATCCCACTACCAAGCCCGGGATGCTGCCTGCCCCACTGTCTGGCAGCCCACAGCATCCTCCATCCCACGGGTGCACATCCACACACCCCGCTCCCACAGACTCCCTGCACATGCTCCCACCTGTCCTTCTTTTTTGTTTGTTTGTTTTCCTTTTTTTTTTTTTTTTTATTTATTTTTCCTCTGCAGAAAGTCGAGGTTAGAACCCTGAAACCCGAAGCCCTGAAACCGAGCTGCCTGGCCCCGCCGGTGGCACGGCCCCGCCACACACACCCGTGGCCGCTTCGTGGCCCGGGCGCCATCAGGATGAGGGAGGGATGAGGGGGGAGAAGGGGGTGTTGGAAGAGCGCAAGCATGTGGCGCTGCGTGGGGTGCCCGTGTGGGTTATGCGTGGCTGACCGCGGATCTGGAGGAGTGGAGGAGGAAGGAGAGGGGGGTGATTCTCACCAATTTCCTCACGGGCAGGAACGCGCGTGTCTGCGTGGGGGAACCGCTGAGGTTTCCTTCTTGAGAGAAGCAATTAAACGCGAATTAGCTTCTCCCGTGCAGCGGGAGTAGAGACCTGCTCCGGTGTCCCTACCCTCCGTCAGGAGCAGCCCGTGGGTCAGCGGGGGGACCCAGGCCCCGCGTGGGAGCAAACCCCGGGCCGGGCGAGGCGCTCCTTCATCCCGCACCCGCGCACCATCCGCGCTCTCCCGCCCCGACCGGGGAGGTGGGTGAGAGGCATCCAAGTTAAAGAAGAGGTTGCCCGGAACCGTTTCCCGGCCCCGCTGCCAGCCCCCAGCGAGCCCCGAGGAGCGGGACCGACGTGGAGCGCTCGGTGCGGCCGGTGACCGAACAAGCCCGGTCTCCCCAGTCTGCATTTTAATCCTGAAATCTGGAAATGGAAATTGTTTGATGTATGAGGAGACGTTATCTAATTAGGGCGTAAGAAATTTAATCTTTCCAGGAGGCAGGTCATATAATTAATGTTAATTTAACGCTCAAATTCTCAGTCATTAATTTTTATTCTCTTAAATGTAGTTTGGCAGGGCCCCCTGATCCATGGCAATGGATTTTACTGAATGTAAGAGCACACTTGGTCTTTGGAGTGAATTACTGCAGCCCTTCCTATCCCAATAACAAGATCACATCATGTATGCATTATTAAGCCATGTAATTGAATGGTCCATAGTTTGCATATCAGACTATTAAAGTAATGTGTTTTGCTTTTCTTCCAACACGTAACGTTAAAGCCTCTGCGAATATTTGGTGATTCTGATAATTATCACCAAATTACTACAAATGTTCTCTTCATTAACGTGATTTCTCTCAAGCATTTTTTTAAAAATGTGAATAATGCATTAAGTGGTGTCTTGTAAAGTGTTTTTTTAAATAAAACTTGTCAACTACAATTCGAAAATGAGACCCAAAAGAGAGAGAGAAGAAGGGAGGGAGAATTAACAGTTGCATGGGAAGAGAACAATTCTCCTCTAAGATTGGAAGAGACGGCTCGCCTTTTCTCCCTATTTCAGATAACTGACTCTACACCTTTAAAGTTTCACTTCATCGGGAGCAAAAGTGCATGCAATCTAAAGAACTGTCGATTCCAGATGATACAGAACAAATGGAGAAACAAAGTTGGAGCTTTTCCCTTTACAGGGAATAGATGGGGACTGAGGCAGACAGACAGAGAGATTGATTTGAAAAGATACTGACCTCTTTCCTTCAGCTGCAATTTAACTTGTCCTGGAGGAAAAAAAAAAAAAAACAACGAGTGAAATCTGCCTCCTCCCCTGCTGCCTCCTGCCTCCACCCGCCCCAGGTTCACACTGTCATCGCAACAAACTGCTGCGCCGATCTCCGAAGGTGAATAATTCTCAATTAACTAAGTAACTAAGTAACTTTCTTTGTGCCATCTTGAATCACTCACTTAAGTAAATCTTAAGCCTTCAAGAACCTTCATTACTGCTTTCCCCCCGCCACACTATTTTCAAAGTTCAATAGCAAGGCAACAAAAAACACTGCTGCAAAATAAGAGTCTCTTAAAATTAAAGAGCTGTTCATTTGCATCAGAAGAAGTTATCCCCTCCCCCCCCCCCTTAAGTTATTTAGGCACAAAAAGTACCACCAACCCAAACCCCTCCCCACAAAACCCCACGCAGCTAGTGTCAGGATCAGCGCCACCGATGCTCTTCAGGGTGCGAAGCCACTGTGGCTGCTGGAGTAGAAGCTGGATCAGGTGTGGTGCTGAGCTCTGTGACTCGGGGCGTCCCGCAGCGCTAAGGCTTTGCTGTCTGCAGCCAGAAGCGCTCGGATCCTGCCGGGCCGACCCCGCTGCTCCCCGCAGGCGGCCGGCGGAGGACGTGCGGGGCTGTGTGAGGCGACTCGCACGGCAGCTCCTCTCCTCTCCTCGGGGCCGCGGGGCTGTAGCCTGGGCCGCCGAGGCTGCTGAGGCTCCTCACCGCGCCGGGAGTCCGGGTCGGCCAGGGCCGCGCTCTTATTTTGGTTGGGAGCGGGCAGCGCTGCCGGCTGGAGCCGGGAGAACGGAGGGAGGCGAACTGTGCTTCTCTGTTTGGTTTAGGGTTGGGTGTTTTTTTCTTTTCCTTTCCCTCCTCTCTCTCTCCCCTTCCCTCCTCACTATAGCAACCAACGCCAGCCTGACAAAAATGCACCCTCTGTGCGGACAATGGCCCAGCCTTCCTGCTCGCCTCGCTCCTCATCTTCCTCGCCGGGCAAAAGAAAGTTTCCAGCTCCCTCCCTCCCTTCTCTCCTCTCCCACTCCGGGGCAGGCTCTTGAGCAAATCCAGGTTGGGGGAGACCGGGCCACGCTCAGCCCCCCCGGGACGGGGCCGTGGTCGTCCCCGTCCCCCCCGTGGGGGAAGGAGAGGACACACAAGTCACCCCCAACCGGGGACCCCGCTTCTGCCAGCGGGGCCGGAGATTCCTGCCCTGCCTGAGGGGGTGGAGGGTGTGTGTGCAAGGGTTTGGAGGGAGTGATGCGGAGGTGGTGGTGCCGGGGAGCTGCCCCCTGTCCTTGTTAGGGGCCGACCG